CTTACTTCCGATTCTGACTTTGGGTGTCATCACTTCATGATAGATGACTGGAAATCTCGGAAGTTCAGGCGAATTTCCCACCGATGTCCCTAAAAGGTATAGGCACTTGGTAGTTTCAATAGTCTCGTCCTAGTTCATTTATTTCCGAAGTGGAATTCTTCTCAATGAACTTCTTCTGGGTCTGAATCAACTCTTCTATCGAACACTGAAGTGGATAAGGTTTTCTACAGGGTTCGTGCGAGAATGGAAATGTATAAAGAATCCTAAGAGATTATTAAAACATCTCACTGGGTGATTCATATCGAGTCCTGCTATAATTACATAGGGTACACGAATTATATATAGCTTAGATCCGATAGGCCTTCGAATATGTGATACTACTCTATATCCACATCCCAACGAGGAAAAGGAAGTAGAGCAAAACCGCACATTCTTAGTTTATGGGATCCCTATTATATATAACCTTGAAGGTATACCCTCTGTAATCATAGGTATATCAATAAGGATCTTTTTAGTTTTTCACACAAGGTTATCTATGGATCCTAAAATACCCCTATGGTTTTCTAAATACTTGATTGGCTCTTTAACTTCTAAATATGATTATGGGATTAATGTGAGTCTTTTAGTATTCCAAAATACTCCTATAGTATTTTAAGCTTTATGTTTGTCTCTAGCATTCCTAGTTGGTAAGTTTCAGACCTGTTGCAACACCACCATCACTCCCAAGCACACGTTCATCGCATCTCGAATAAATGTAGTTGATCAGGTTACATTTATTCCAGCTTACGATTACATAACTGCCCAGGTTTGATGGTAATGCCCAACATTAGAAGGCTTTTATTCTTGTTCTCCTTGTGATACTTTGTTCGGGTATTTAGATTTTGGATGTTCTTATACTTTGGTAAAACATGGTTATATTTTTAAGTATAATTCTTGGTCAGAGTGTTTTTATCCCTATGTATTTATAGGCTGCATATCTTTTATGAATTGATATACTGAGCTCACTATAAACAATGCTCTGATACCAATCTGTCACACCCCAAAACCGGAACGGCGGAAACGTTCTGGGGTGGATAACGTCATGTCAAGTATCACAACACATACAGTATAGTAATCAAGGTACAACAACCATTGCATTAATAGTAATAATTTTACATAGTTTACATTTCATAGCAACATCAATGTAATACAAGGAATAATATAGGTGAAGCTCGGTACTAGGCCGTCTTCACAAAAGCTCTCGGGGTGTACTTGTCTATCGCTGACCTGAGAATACAAGTTATTTTGAAAGTGAGTATCATCATTTTTATAATGCTGGTGAGTCCATAAGTATTTAGTGTCATTTTTACAAATACACATTTTTATTCAAAATAACTTTATGAAGGATAATAGTTTAGAATCTATGGTGTATTAGCGTCCTTTCCAGAAAATCCTATATTTTCTAAATAAAAGCAGTCTTCTACCAAGACCCGACCGATTTATGTTTTAAGGAGTAGTTTTCCCCAAATTACTATCATTACCAAATACATAATTAACTTTAAAATGGGTAATGAGAAAATTTCAAGTGAAAGTACTAGGGGAAAATAATATATATACATTAGCAGTAACACTGCTGACTAAAACGAAGAAAACATAGACTCCAGGAGAGTATCGAATGAATGATACGCTTGGCTCAGTCTAACAAAAGGAAGCACAGACTCCATACAATATCGAATGAGCGATACAGCTAGCAAAGTCTAAACAAAGGGTAAATCTGAACTAGTATGTAACCATGCTGATCGATGATAGAGTATCCGATGACCCTCCAGGTCTGGGTGTGGGAGTGTCAGTCCCGTATAGATCTATAAACATGAGGTTCGCTCTCCTTCCCGAAGACTCTGGTTACACGGCGTTGGCGTAACGAAGCATCGTAGAGGGAAATAGTGTGTCACATTCTAAAGCCAAAAGAGAGAGAGATAGAGATAGAGATAGAGATAGAGATAGAGATAGAATTTCCTAACTATTCCTATAATAGTTACTAGGGTTCTAGAAACGTGAATAATAGAAAGTTGCATTTACTACCCAAAGGCCATGAACTAGCTGTGTGTGTGTGTGTGTGAGAGAGAGAGAGAGAGAGAGAGAGAGAGAGATAGCTTTTATGTCCATATATGTATACGTGATATATAATTAAAGTTTAAACGACCTTCGGATGGATGCCCGATACCCACCAAAGCACATCTAAATTTTTGCTCACTTATTTTTGGTTCGCTTGTCGAATATTATTTAAAATATTCCAACTGGCTTAAATCTGGCCAAAAATATTTTGAGATAAATTTGGCTAATTTTTGACGTGCTTAATTACAGCGTTAAAACAAACGGAAATTCCGGGTTGTCACAAGAAGAGTACATACCGTCCTTCTCCATGAAGAACTGGCGCATCATCCCTTAGGCCCTCCAGGCGTCGCACATCCCCGTAACAACAATGATGTAATCCTCCCAAGCAGATACTCTTCAACGCTAGTGCCACGATTAGACTAGCACCCTATCGTGATGGAGACTGGTCAGAAAAGACAGTTACTCGGGGGTAGCCAAAACCAACTAGGTTGCAATTCACCCAAAGCTACTTGTCCTGCCAGTTTTTCTTGGGCGCTTTCTGGTTAATGATGAACGTGTTGATGCCTCGGCTTTGAGAAAAGGTATGAACACCTGATTGTGTGTAGGAGTTGATGTAGGCCTTGAAGGCCCAAAATTAAGGAAGCACTTTGAGGGCTCGACAACCCAGTTCGAACCCCACAATCTTGTTAACATCGTTAGGGGTCAAGTCATCCATGGAGAATCCATATAGACGCATGATCTCATTAAATAAATTAGTGGTAACGTTATACCTGCCTCAAAGATCAGAATGGGACTCCATCTTTGCCCTCTGGCGGCTGAAAGATAATCGCCCCTTTCCTGGGAAATTACAACCCATGTTCAGCCATGAAAACGAACTGAATCTGAAGAGCCTCGAACTCATATGGGGTTAGCTCGATTCCAAATCATGGTGTCACTATTTTTTCTTAGAGCAAGAACAGGAAAGAAGAAAGGGTAAGCGAAGAGAGGACATAAGCAGTTGAAGAATGGAAAAGGTAAAAAGGAAACTGTTCATGGTAAGGAAGTTTTAAGTGAAGAGTGGGAATATCGAATCGTCACCATGATGAAACCGCTTGTGCTGATGACTCCATCACATCAACGAACATCCAATCCATCTTCACCGAACACGTGTATTGATCAAGGCTAGAACGAGTCAGCTACGCTATGCCAACGCTAATATCTACTAGCCTAGAGGACTTGTTAACGTATCCCTCTAGGAATACATTAAAGATAACATAATTGTTATCTTTAGGACGACCTAGTTAACTGCTAGGATCCTGATGCTTGGCGCCCTCGTGCCCAGGTCCAATTCCTGACGATAATCTCTAGTCTATTATAAGCCAAACCATAGCTGCGCATTTCCCAGAGCGACAAGTATAGTGTTCAGGGCGATGTCCTCTGTTTCTTCTACACCAATAGCAGATAACCACTATTGGTGCACGATCCACCAGTGGGACTCCTCCACGTCTTGTTGGACCATACGGGATAAAGGATATTGTTGGGATCATGTGCAGAGAACAACATGTATAAAAGGAATCCATCTTCTCTAGAAGAAGGGATCGCTTCTTTATTCTCCAAAATCCTAATCACCATATTCTCGTACACATACTAACTAGACCGTCGGAGCTTCATCCCAAGACCACCTTTTGGACGTCAACTGACATTATCTCTTCATTGTTGTGATCATAAGACTCTACGTAGTTGGAATCATCAAGTAACGACGTTATGTCCCATGCACATATCACAACACGATTTGACAAGAGTAAGCCCTCCCCTACCCCTACCCTCCAAATGATATACTTTTAGCTTTCCATAAAGACAAATTATTTTGAACTTCTCATTAATCGTATTCTAATTCTTGTCTAGCCTCATATTGGCTCCAATTGCGAGACCAATATATTTAAAGGGAAAATAAGAAGGCTCACAAAGCAAAATGCTAGTAAGACGAGCAATATCAATAATAAAGTACAAGTATAGTTATAATTTATAAGTCCCATAAACACTGCCCCTCTCCCTCTTGAAGGCAGCCTTACGTCAATGGTGCAATGCCTTCTCAAGTTATGAGGACAACAAAACTATCAAGACTAACATTAGCTTAAAGTTTTCTGTAATTTTTGTCCAACTGTGCAACTCGTTCAAATGTTCATGTCTAAAGTTTGGTCAAATCATAGATCAGTTAGGTTAAAAAAACGCTTGGTTGACATCAAAGTTTTCAACTTCCCTTAATTAGATGTTGACACTTGACAACTCACGTGCATAATGAACAATGAACAAACAAGGATCATAATCGAAGAAAATGAAGTTTGAACATGTGATATCTACCCTAATAAATAAGAATGATTTTGCCACATGCCTTTCTCTCATTCAATTTGCCACATGTCACTTTGTCATAATTTAGAAATATATTTATTTTCCACTTGTCATTTATTTCATTTTCCATTTATAATATATTATTAATTAGTTTACATAAATTAAACCTATCATAATGATATTAATTTCAAATTTTAAATTTAAATTTCAATTTCAAATAAATTTACAGTTTAAACCTTTGTGTTTAATATTTTGTTATAATTAACCTGTTTAGTATACGGGTCTGATAACTAAACAATAATTTTAATTAATTTATTTTTTGCATGTTTTTTTCTCATAATTTTTATTTATTTCAAATTTCAATTTCAAATAAACTTCTCATTTAATCGTTTCTATTTAACATTTTGTTTTAATCAACCCGTATAATATACGGGTTTCATAACTAGTCTATGTATTATTCGTAGAATGTAAAATAGGTATTCAATATTACTAAATAAATGGAAGCAACACATTAGTACTCGATCTCCGTTGGTGGATGAAAGCAGTGAATGAGTGTGATTACAAAAGCGGTTGGGAGCCTACAAAGTAATCTGGGCCATCGGATGAACTTTCTGAATCTCTTGTACTCTTTCGGAGATTAGGACACCGAGAAAGTTTTTGATGAAGTCTACGAATCTGTTCATGTACTCTTTTGGAGGGATTACAGTCGGCAAATGGTTCTTAGGCACCTTAAAGTTGGACTTCCACCAGTTCTCCACTATCCTCTCTGGATCATATGGTCTAAGATAATCAATTATACCGCATAGAAGCTCTTTTTTTTCAGTGTCCACTCCAAGCAACAAGGAATAATCCATCACACCGATCCACTGAATATTAATAGAGAGAAAAATACAATATAAGCAATGTTAGAATAATCCCTCCTAATTGTTAAAGATCATCACTAGCCCAATAAAACAAATATTATTTAGAAGACTTTAGCTTGTTCTAGAATGCTCTAGAAGATTCTAGAACATTATGGAAGACTATGGAAGACTATGGAAGACTCTGGAATATACCGGAAGAGTCTAGAATACTCTAGAACAACATGGAAGACCCTGGAAGGATATGGATCATTCTAGAAGACACTGGAGCAACCTAGACCTCTCCAGAACATGGTAGAATATTCTAGAAACATATGGAAGCATATAGAGTATGTTAGATAGTTCTAGAGTTATCTAGTATGTAGTAAGTGTATACTAGTATCTAGAACCTTCCTAAGAGGCCTATAAATAGGTATGGAGCTCATTTGCTCCAAACCATCCAAGAAAGCCTCAAAGAGAGAAAAGTGTGTAGTAGTCTCACAAAGTGTAAGGTCTTCTTAAGTGTCTTAATAAAAGTCTTGTTGTTTCCCATATAAAAGAGTCGTGTTCAACAATCTGGTATCAGAGCAAGGTTTCTTGATAGTGAGAACGAGTGATTCTCGTTGTATCGTGAGTAGTTTGTGACTCTGCAAGTTTAGTATCGAAACTAGCTTGTTTGGTATTACCGAGGTACTGCCAACACGATGGGTGATCTCCAAGTCGTCGGAGGAATCAAGAAACTCAACAACAACAACTACAAAACGTGGGAAACATGTATGAAGTCCTACTTACAAGGACAAGATCTATGGGAGGTCGTTGGTGGAAGCGAAACTACGCCACCAGAGGAAGACGTTAATGGTGCTTTACGCAAATGGAAAATCAAAGCAGGCAAAGCAATGTTTGCCTTGAAGACCACAATTGAAGAAGAGATGTTGGAGCATATTCGGGATGAGAACACCCCGAAAGAAGCTTGGGACACGTTTGTGACGCTTTTCTCAAAGAAGAATGATACGAGACTACAACTTTTGGAGAACGAGCTATTATCAATCTCACAACGTGACATGACGATTGCTCAATATTTCCACAAGGTCAAGTCGATATGTCGGGAGATTACTGAACTAGATCCACAATCCGTCATTGCAGAAGCTCGAATGAAGAGAATCATTATCCATGGACTGAGGCCGGAATATAGAAGCTTTGTTACTGCTGTACAAGGATGGCCCGCTCAACCATCACTTGTAGAGTTTGAGAATTTGTTGGCCAGCCAAGAAGCTATGGCTAAGCAAATGGGAGGCATCACGCTGAAGAGTGAAGAAGAAGCACTCTACACAAGTAAAAGTCGGAGGAATTTCAAGCCACCTTCTAAAGAAGGATACAAAAATGCTGACAAAGGGAAGAGTCAGCAAGGAACCTCAAAACCATGGAGATCTCAAAAGACCGACAATAAGAGTTCTCGGGGGAGGAGGTTCGAAGGCAACTGCAACAACTGTGGAAAGTGGGGCCACATGTCCAAGGATTGTTGGTCAAAGAAAAAGTCTGTGGAAAGCAATGTAGTAACTTCCAAAAAGGAAATAGAGGATGAATGGGATGCTGAGGCATTATGTGCCATTGAAGAAAACGAGTTGGCACTCATGACAATGATGGGAGAGCGTATCAACTATGAAAATGACTGGATCATTGATTCAGGATGCTCCAATCACATGACTGGCGATCAGAACAAACTACAAGACGTGAAGGAGTACAAAGGGAGTCGCATGGTACTTACAGCCAACAATGCACGACTTCCAATTGCTCAGATTGGAAAAACGACGATCATGCCTGGTAATAAATCTGACATGGTGTCACTACATAATGTGTATCACGTGCCAGGTATGAAGAAGAACTTGTTGTCGGTATCGCAACTAACATCGTCAGGCAACTACGTCTTGTTTGGCCCACAAGATGTGAAGGTCTATCGAGATCTTAAAATATCAGAAACGCCAACAATGGAAGGACGAAGAGTGGAGTCCGTTTATGTGCTCTCCGCAGAGTCTGCCTATGTAGATAAGACTCGTAAGAATGAGACAGCAGATCTATGGCATGCACGGCTGGGACATGTTGGTTATCACAAGTTGAAGGTAATAATGGAGAAATCCATGCTCAATGGCTTACCTCAACTTGAAGTTAAAACAGATGTTGTTTGTGTGGATGTCAGTATGGTAAAGCTCATCAATTACCATACAAGGAGTCAAATTTTAGAGCAAAGAAGCCACTAGAGTTAATTCACTCAGATGTGTTCGGTCCAGTCAAGCAGACATCAGTTAGCGGGATGCGGTACATGGTGACGTTCATTGATGATTATTCGAGATATGTGTGGGTTTTCTTCATGAAAGAAAAATCTGAAACATTCTCAAAGTTTCTAGAATTCAAGACAACGGTCGAAGGAGAAGTGAGAAAGAAGATTCAGTGTCTACGCTCAGACAATGGAGGAGAATACACCTCAGAAGAATTCAATCGCTATCTAAAAGAATGTGGTATACGTCATCAATTCACATGTGCCAACACACCTCAACAAAATGGTGTAGCTGAGAGAAAGAATCGACATCTTGCAGAAATTTGTCGAAGCATGCTACACGCGAAGAATGTCCCAGGAAGATTTTGGGCTGAAGCAATGCAAACTGCTGCCCATGTGATCAATAAACTTCCCCAACCAAGGTTAGGTTTCATCTCACCATTTGAGACACTATGGAACATGAAACCTACTGTTAGCTACTTCCGAGTATTTGGCTGCGTTTGCTACGTATTTGTGCCTAGTCATTTACGTAGCAAGTTTGACAAGAAAGCAGTCAGGTGTATATTTGTTGGATACGACAATCAAAGAAAAGGGTGGAGATGTTGTGATCCAACAAGTGGAAGATGCTACACTTCAAGAGATGTGGTGTTCGATGAAGCATCTTCATGGTGGTCCTCAGAGAAGAAAGTACTACCAGACTCGGAAAATATTGAAGAAGTTTTAAAACAAAAGATGGGGGAGCAAACTGCACATATTTGGTCAAGTGTTGATACACCTGAAGATCCGAGCGACACTGATGTCATTGAGCAAGAAGTCTCAAACAAGTGATGCCGGTGAAAGGGAGCCGCCGCCTCCACAACTTCGAAGGACGGAAAGAATCCGAAAGCCTAATCCCAAGTATGCTAATGCGGCCATTTTAGAAGACGGTGTTAAAGAGCCGGAGACATATGAAGAAGCAATTAAGAATAAAGCTTGGCAGAAGGCGATGGAAGAAGAAGTTACAGCCTTAGAGCAGAATCAAACTTGGGAACTAGTACCAAGACCAAGAGATTTAAAACCCATTTCCTGCAAGTGGGTTTATAAAATAAAGCGTCGCCCAGATGGATCAATTGAGAGATACAAGGCTCGTCTGGTGGCTCGAGGGTTCTCACAACAATATGGATTGGACTATGATGAAACATTTAGTCCAGTGGCGAAGATAACTACTGTACGGGTGCTGCTAGCTCTTGCGGCTAGTAAAGACTGGAAATTATGGCAGATGGATGTGAAGAATGCTTTCTTGCATGGAGAATTAGATCGGGAGATCTACATGAACCAACCAAAGGGATTTGAGGATGCAGTTAATCCCACTCATGTGTGCAAGCTGAGAAAAGCTCTTTACGGATTGAAGCAAGCACCAAGAGCCTGGTATGGTAAGATTGCTGAATTTCTTACCCGAAGTGGTTATTCAGTTGCACATGCAGACTCAAGCCTGTTCATCAAAGAAAAAGAAGGGAAGTTGGCAATTGTGTTGGTTTATGTGGATGACTTGATCATCACCGGGGATGACGAAAGAGAAATCCATCAAACAAGAGAAAATCTATCGGTACGATTCCAAATGAAAGAGCTGGGGGAGCTTAAACACTTCTTGGGGTTAGAAGTTGATCGTACAAAAGAAGGGTTGTTTCTCTGCCAACAAAAGTATACAAGAGATATACTTCAAAAGTTTGGCATGTTGGAGTGTAAGCCAATATCAACACCAATAGAGCCAAATGCCAAGATATGTGCTCATGAAGGAAAAGAGTTGGACGATGGAACGATGTATCGACAACTAGTAGGTAGTCTTATCTACCTAACTTTATCTCGGCCTGACATTGCTTATGCAGTTGGAGTTATGAGTCGATACATGCAAAGTCCGAAGAAACCTCATTTGGATGCTGCCCGACGGATCTTGAGATATGTCAAAGGTACGATTGACTATGGTCTCTTGTATAAAAGAGGAGAAGACTGCAAGTTGGTTGGATATTGTGATGCTGACTATGCAGGAGACCATGATACCCGAAGATCAACCACTGGGTATGTGTTCAAGCTTGGGTCGGGACCAATATCATGGTGTAGTAAAAGACAACCAACAGTATCATTGTCAACCACGGAAGCGGAGTACAAAGCAGCGGCCGTAGCAGCTCAAGAAAGTACATGGTTGGTACTCCTAATGGAGGACTTACATCAAAAAGTTGACTATGCAGTACCACTTCACTGTGACAACCAGTCTGCAATTCGGCTGGCAGAAAATCCAGTATTTCATGCTAGAACAAAGCATGTGGAAGTGCATTATCACTTTATCAGAGAGAAAGTCTTGATGGAAGAAATTGAGATGCGGCAGATCAAGACCGATAATCAAATAGCAGACTTGTTCACCAAAGGGCTGAGTACTGGAAAATGTGAAGGTTTTCGCTGTCAGCTTAACATGGTACGAAGAATGAGGGCTAGTGTTGAGGGGGAGTGTTAAAGATCATCACTAGCCCAATAAAACAAATATTATTTAGAAGACTTTAGCTTGTTCTAGAATGCTCTAGAAGATTCTAGAACATTATGGAAGACTATGGAAGACTATGGAAGACTCTGGAATATACCGGAAGAGTCTAGAATACTCTAGAACGACATGGAAGACCCTGGAAGGATATGGATCATTCTAGAAGACACTGGAGCAACCTAGACCTCTCCAGAACATGGTAGAATATTCTAGAAACATATGGAAGCATATAGAGTATGTTAGATAGTTCTAGAGTTATCTAGTATGTAGTAAGTGTATACTAGTATCTAGAACCTTCCTAAGAGGCCTATAAATAGGTATGGAGCTCATTTGCTCCAAACCATCCAAGAAAGCCTCAAAGAGAGAAAAGTGTGTAGTAGTCTCACAAAGTGTAAGGTCTTCTTAAGTGTCTTAATAAAAGTCTTGTTGTTTCCCATATAAAAGAGTCGTGTTCAACACTAATTACTAGTTATTCATCTGCATTACACTATTTACTTGTTTTTTTGCATAAATTTTATAATAAAATGAGAGATAAAAAAAAAAGAAATACTCACGTGGAGGAAGGAAGTATCGTTCAGTATAGCTGCTAGCAATTTTCGTACTGATCTAATTTCAACGTATATAGGAGAAAGCTTCATGTCATCTACAAAATTTTGGTCCAAATATACGTTCCCCACGACATCAGTAGCAGGATTGGAACGTTTAAACAGAGCTCCTTTCAGATCATACAGTCTAGTAAATTTTCGGCAATAAGTAATGTTCTCCATCACCATTAGATCATATTTTGTTCCACTCTTTTTGTTTGTTACCTGCAACCATATAGGTCACCACCGGAACAGGCATACAAAATAAAATATAAATTCTGAGCTATTATTGAGCATAAAAACAAACCTGATAAACCCCAAGAATTTTTGCAAGGCATGTCGTGTGTCCTTTTTTAATGTACGCAAAATAGGCAAAAGCAGTTTTATGAAATGTGCAAAACTCGGTCTTGTGAATTTGCTTTATAATGAAGCGATCATCAAGAGTTTTAGCAAAGAAACATTCACTCTTTCCTCCTTTGGCATCCCAGGGCTTACAACGGCTTAGTGAAGAAATATAAGATACCTCGGATAACCCACAATGCTTACGAAGATCAAGAAACTCTTTGGGAAACAGAGAAGCTACTGTGTATTTGGGTGTGTTAGCTAATCTTCCCATACAGATGACCGGGTGAAGATAAGTTGAAGAATCAGGCATATCTAACCCATCAGAAATAGAATGAAATGATTCATCAGAAGGATAACAAAATAAAGAACCTAGAGAATCCATGAAGTAACTGAAGGAAAACCAATTCGGGGAACTCAGAGAGGAAAACGGATGTAAAGTCTGATATGATTTCACATCCAATGAGTTGTTCTGGTCTTCTTGATAAGCCAAAGCTAAAGCACAAGCAATGATACTAGACAACTCATCCTCATAATCTGATACCATATGATTGTCAGTACCCAATAGAAAATGAAGGTTTAATCCCTCTTGGGTATTCCTTTTGTGTCCCCTTTGGAGATCCTCCAAAGAAATACTTTGGATTTCTGAGAAAGGCCTCCACATCCACCCCTTAGGATCTGCTGATTTTAGTGAATGCACCAAAGAAAATTTACCATCACTTGTTTGAGTGTCAACCAGTTTTAGATCAGATGAATGAAGGGAACAGACACGCTCATTCCAGATGTAGGAAAGCAGCATAAGCTTCCACCGTATATGATTCAAGGAGAGCGCCTTGTATGACCATTTATTCATAGAAACATCTCTCATGTCAACCTATAGTATTAGATGGATGATTAAAAAAAGAACGATAATAAACTATGTGTCATATATATATATATATATATATATATATATATATATATGTATATATATATATATCTATGAGTGAGAAAGTAACCGACTTCAAATTGATCTTGTTCTTGCTTCAAGGTCTCTTTGATGTCAGAGAATCGTTTACATGATCCTTCAATGTTCAACGTTGACCCAACAAACTTGTTTTCCATCTCCTTCAGAGACTTCTCAATGTCAACAAACATTGAACGTCCTTGTTGCAACACCTTCCAAAAAGTAAAATTTTATTAAATGATTTGTTGACCTGCTACGGTTATGTAAATCTTTCTTATGAATTTGGTAATGAAAAAGTATAAATTATAAATGGCTTGGCAAATAATATAGCAAATAATACAAAAAATAAAACTTACCTTCACCATTTTATTGATTTAGATACTTAAGCTACCTTTTTTGGTGATTTAATAGTTTGGAGCATACAGACCATTTAAATTATGGATGAGTGAGAGAATGACAAAGGGGAGAAAGAAACCAAATTATTTAAAACGGACATAACTTTTCATCCATCAGAAATTTGGAGGTCCAGTTCCCCAATTACGATTCATTTCCAGTTTTATTTATTTATTTTGTTTTAATAACAGATACTGTAATTTCCATGATTTCGGTTTTACCAAGATTGTTTCAAAGGTTACTTAGAGAAATTAATTGTCAATTCAATTTTCAGAAAATTGGAATACTTGCTAAATTTAGCTCCAACTTATATATAAGGGTATTGTATGCTTTCTCAATTATTCTAGAAAATATGTTTGTTTAACGCTTTTTTGGTGTTACTACTTCTGTTATGCTTAATTGTACCTTTTTTAGAAACTAATTTTTTTTTCCAGTTACCCAGTTTTAAGAAAACATACAAAACACAACATACTTTCCATATTTCTATGATGATTATAACAATAGTTCAGTGCTAAATCAATCAAAAATAATAGTTCATAGGATAAACCCATTAAATCACGAAAGTTGATCACGCTTTTCTCGATATGTCCCTGACACATACCCTGGAAATAGTCAAATCGATGAAATTATAAAAGTACAAGACTACAAGTGGTTATTTATTTATTTATTTTTTATTTGTTTGTGTTTCTCCGAATAAAATAATAATATATAAATGCCACTTTCACACCAAGCCAATAAACTACCCATGATTATACATACCTTCTCAACCTCTTCTTTAAGAAAATCGCCTCCATTTACATCGCTAAATTTGACCTTCCTAGGCGGCAGATATACAGAGAAAGTAGGCACAGTTGAGTATGTAAGCATCACAACCATCGAGCCTAATCTGCAAGTTTCACAAATTCGTGTATGCATATATATATATATATATATATATATATATATATATATATATATATATATATATATATATACTCTCTCTCTCTCTCTCTCTCTCTCTCTATTGTGTATAGAGTATCCCTATATGCTTGCCTTGGTAGTATGGTGTGAGGTTCAAGCCATGACCTCACTTTCGTTGCTATGAGGACATTGTGATTTACCTACCTCTTGGTTGTGCAACCGATTAGTAGGGATGCTTGTCGGTGGCATACTAGCATTTACCCTTTTTTATTTTCTATGAGACCAAAGAATGCGTATATTTTGAACATGAATCCCCTTCTTTACCTTGTGTTGATGATTTCTGTCACATACAACCTTCACTACAAAGGTCTGCAAGATGAATATTGAGCACCCTTTTATAGAATTACGTTCCAAATAACTGAGATCTTCAATGTGAATATGTGCGCATAACTTTTTTTTTTTCATCTAGATTACTAATAACTCAACTAATAGCAATATTATATAGAATTCCTATTTTTCAAGAGGATCGAGTCGCACAGCCAATATGGGGAAGGCAAATCACAGAGTCCGCAGAGCAATGGAGGAGATGTCTAAAGCTTGAATCGTAAACTGCCTGGTGTGTCACACTATAACAGAGAATATCAGTTTTAGCCACCTCTAAAATGGAGAACCATTATACACTCTAGTTCTTAGTACACATCAAACATACTTGATAGTGAATAACATATTCACAGGAGGCGTACCCGTAGAAGTGAAGATAGTCCCCATAAAAGTAATGTCCACAGCTAAATCGTATTTCCCATTTAGGGTGGTTCAAGAAGGCAAGTTCTAAGATGCTCCCAAAGGATACGCCACGAGCATCAATGGGGAACAATACTCTTTTGGTAGGATTTAAGCTTCGAGCGGAGGGTTTACATTGTCCACAAAAATTCCACATCCATAGCTTTCCTTCATTTTCACCAGGCAAGTGCTTATGGGAAGGAAGACGTTTGACTTCAACTGTAACCTTCCTGTCTTGATGAGCATAGTAGGAAATATGAGCTTCTGCCAGTTCCTTACATGTTCCACAAAAAAGCTTCTGCATAGTGACAACCAACTAAAAAGTTATGCTTGACCTATTGGGCTACACGTAAGAAATAGCAACATACTTCATATGTATTATTGCATCTTGCTTTCATATTTTTTTACAGCATTTTACTTTCTATTTTTATACCTTGTTATGGCATTGTACTATGAAAAATCTTCCCTTTAAATTATTTTCTTATTTGGATATTGTACTTTGAAAAATCTAAAAATTGCTTTGTAATTTGAAGACATTCTATTATCAATACATTTTTCAAAATACAAGGTATTAGACACTCTTGTAATTATCGTAAACTACCGGTAATTGTAATATTTGTCTTTACATATAGAGATCTCTCGTAACCTATAATATTCATTTAATAAAATACACAATTATAAACCCCATTATGCAAGGTATCTACATGCTAGGATTTATTACACGCATGGTAACCTATAATATTCATTCTATAAAATACACAATTATAAAATGCATGGACACATGCTAGGGTTTACATACTATTCACATCGTTACTGTTCATCTGCACAATATAATTCATCCCCTCTTTCAAAGAACTATTTTGTTTCACTTCGTCAGCTTCACCACTACAAATAAAACCTCTTACAACTCAAACGTTTTCATTGAAACAATGTCATACTAACTAAGGTTACAGGAAGACCATGGTTCATCCCTACCTCCTCACTAACCTATTTGGCTATATCAATAACACAACCGTATGCTCTCCAAATTTGAAAATACATCCAAGAGACAATCCTAATTACCCAATTTGGATCTAGGGTGATGTGCATGTATGTATGTTGATTATCTCACCATATTATTTTTTCATCTTGTTCAAGGTATCACTTCTTGTGATCAATGGATTTCCTTGGATTAGGCCTTCATATCGCACCCATCATCCAAGTGCACCGATAAGATACACCCTAGATACACCTTTTCAAAATCGAGATGAAAGATGATAAAACATTGATGCCTACTTTAATCATGCACAAGGGTATGTCGGTTGTCGCTCCTGTTGCTGACATTATGAAGTAGTCAAAGATAAATGCCTAGTCATACTTGTTCTTTCCTGTCTTCGAGAGGAATACAATGGTTTTAAATTACCATCACAACATGTTAATTCCCTACCACCTTCAGTGAACTTCCTATACTATACGGTGCCTACAAGTTAGGCCATCTCCAATTCATTAAACTCATTGAGAGTTGAATAGAGTGCCAACTAGGAGAGAGACTATATATATTAAATTAAATTCTTAAAAAAAACCCATAACTTTTTCACTACATATTTTATTCAACCGTTCAGTGGTGATTTAACTCCACATTCTCTTTCCTCTATATTATATTCAAATTTATTCTATTAAACTCGCATTAAACCCCCATTATGGATGGCCTTAGGACTTTCACACATTAACATCCTTGTCGACAAATCTGAATGCTCTTTAGCATCCTTAACTGCTTAACTAGTCCTATTGTGTTAGCCCTCCACTTTCAAATAATACACATCATACCTATCAGTCTTGCTTCAGAAGAATGTTAAGCTTTCTATCTTAGAACGACTAATCCTGATTAATACCTAGTATTCTAAAATCGATCACCATATCAACATCCTCCACAACCACACCCCACCCCCTCTTAATCGTCTATGTCCCTATTATTTTTAACTAAAACCAAAACAATAGGTCCCTTTTCGCCTTTGGCTAACCACACCACCACATCCTTCATTCCAATAACATAGCCTACGTCTTTGACCATTGTCAACAAATTTTGCAAGTGGCGTCAAGCAATAGCCCATAAGTACTCTAATCTTATTAAAAACAACACATGGTCTTTGGATCCTCTTGTTCCTCTCAATAATGTTGTTGATTGTAAGTGGCTTTACATGATGAAGTGAGAAAAAAAGTGCCATCATTCACCACAAATGCAGTTTTGGCAACAAATATGGGAAACTTTCAAGAAACCTTTATCATTGTTAAATCTATTACAATACTGTTTGTTCTCTCTCTCTCTCTCTCTCTCCCTCTCTCTTTCTTTCTTTCTTTCTCTCTCTCTCTCTCTCTCTCTCTCTCTCTCTCTCTCTCTCGATATTACACAAAATATGGTCATTTTGGAAGTTCGATGTTCAGATTTCTTTTGTCCAATACACCCTTAACGAAATTATATTTGTGAAAACATTGCACAACTTCATTGGCCCACATAGACAAGATCCATATATGGCCTTATGAAAGACCTAAAGCTGATTATATAGACTTTCAAAGGTCCTCCACGTTTCCAGATTCACAGACTCCAAAACAAGTAATTCCCTATTTATTTACTCATGTGTAAGCACAAATCTATACATATTTGTCTATATTGACGACACCATTGTTATCGGGAATAATACTGCCAGAAATGACGTCATTAAAAAACTCAACACAACCTTTTCTTTGAACGACCTTTACTAACAATTATTGATCTTCCATAGACGGGTCTTATTTTATATTCATGGCACAATAGACCAAAATATGTTTATTTTGGAAACCTCAGGTACAACACTTAGGCTTTTCACCGATGCTTATTGTTGATGATTTTAGTTTGTGTGTACCTCTATTGACAATCATTCTTCTTCCATAGACGGATCTATTTTATCTTCAGAGAATGTGGACTGCATGAATATATAAGATCAAATTTTAAGTTGGTATGATAGAATGGCGTAGGTTAAGGGGGTCACACCCCTTTGTAGGGTCCTAAGGGTACCGCCCTTAGCGGGGTCCAAGGGGCGGAGCCCTTGACGGTAGCCCAATCTATTGGTATTCATAAATTTGAATTTGTTTACTTATGGAAAATCCAAATCCTAATGGATGGCAGTGGTAAGATTGACAAATCTCGTCCTTTTTGGAAACCATTAATTAAGCCATTAATCCATGATTCTGTTAATTAATTTAGAAGACAGAAACTCTAATTTGTCAAAGTATAAATACGTCTCCTCTATAGAGCCGTCATTTGAACCTTTTCTCAACTCCCCTTCTAGAAAAAAAATCTCTAGCAATTTGGCTTATGTTTTTGTGCCAAGATTCGTGAGCGTCCTTTTGGATTATCTTATCTAGTAACCCGGGCATAGGATGAAAATATCAGTTTGGAAAGTGTCCTTACATGATCCATAAGGAATCTGGTTCTCCACCATCACCCTACTAATATTCCCCCAACAATTAGCAAGCTTCCATAGCTCCTCCGCCTAGCCGCCTTATACGATATATAGACGAGACTTGTTGTGGAGAGGATCATTGGTAGATGAGGTGCTTCCCCGCTGATTGATCTTCAGAAATTTGAATTAGTTTCTTTATAGAAAATCCGAATTCTAATGGGTGCCCATGGTAAGTTTGACAAATCTCGTCAGTTTTGGAAAACATTAACTAAGCCTTTTATCCATGATTCTCTTAATTAATGTAGAAGACGGAAACCCTATTTTTGTTAAAGTATAAATACGTCTCCTCTATAGAGTTGTCATTAGAGCCTTTCCTCAGCTCCTTCTAGAACATACTCATAATTCTCTAGCAATTTGGCTTATGTTTTTGTAACAAGATTCGTAAGTGTCCTTTTGGATTATCTTATCCTGTAACCCGGGCATAGAGTGAAAATATCAGTTTGGAAAGTGACCTTACATGATCAATAAGGAATCTGATTCTCCACCATCTAATATTTCCCCAACAATGAGCAAGGTTCCACAACTCTACCTGGCCGCTTTATTTGATATGTAGACGAGACTGGTTGTCAAGATGATCATTGGTCCATGATGCGCTTCTCTCTCTCTCTCTCTCTCTCTCTATATATATATATATATATATATATATATATATATATATATATATATATATATATATATATATATAACCTTATTTCATGGAATGACAAGCAAGCAACACACTATTTCTCACTCCTTTATAGAGTCTAAATACAAAACTCTATAGCTAATCTAGTTGCTTGAACTTATGTGGCTCCAAACTCCTATTCGTGAACTTACTATTAACACACCTTCCTCATGATGTGACAATTTGGGATAACTTCTCTATTAATCTTGTTTTTCATACTTGTATAAAACATCTGGATGTAAGTTTTCACTTCATTAGAGAAAATGTTGCTAAAGGGGACATCCATGTTCAATTCATATCAACATACAATTAGATTGCTGGCATTTTACAAAGTAGTTATCGACTCCAAGATTTCTATTTTTATGATCTAAGTTGCAGATTTGTCCTTATCTTGTGGGGTGGTATTAGATAGTCTCGTAATTATCTTAGACTAGAGGTACCTTTGTGCAATATTTATCTTTATATATGGATATCTCTTATTTAATATTAGATTTATTCTATACAATGCACAATTATATGACCCTTTATTGGATAGATATTTTAAAGTAGAATGTTATAGCTATAATGTAAAGAAATTAAAATAGAATAATATAATACACAAATAAATGAAAGTACGTGCATTCAATCCCAATAGAGAAGATGGAATACTCGAAAGTAAGCAGAAGAAAATGATAAATTGTTTGTAAAGGCATGAAGAATGTGAACTAATAAAGCATTAGGAAAAATATGGAGTTTCAAGTAACCTGATTGAATAGATCATCCACCAAAAACTTTCCAAAGGGCATATCAAAATTTTGGTAGAAGTTGATGTCCGGTAGACATGCAGTCCGACTTGTTGCATTGTGCCTAGATATGAATAATGATATCCGTCGTGAACCTAACACTGCAGTAATGTCACCCTTATGTGTCATAAGGTCTTCATTGCAGTTTGATAATATTGTCTTTTCTGTTGGGTCAATCGCAGCTGCCCTTTGAAAGAATAAACCCTTACGGATCACATGGTATACAATGATAACCGCATGCCTTACAACCCGTTTAATCTTTTTTAGTTCATCCCTGTGAGATCCCTTGAGCAAAATCTGTAGGGTGTCACATTGAAGTTATCTACAACTGACATACAAGAAAGGACACACAAAATACACTTGTTAGTAGTGAACCCTATGAACAACAATATATAAACTCACTGTCAATCCCATTCGTGCAGGATTCCCCCCGAGAAACATTATAGTCTTCATAGGCCTTTTTCCATTATCAAAAAGAGCAGCATGTTCTTCTTCAATCTTTTCTAAATAAAATGTTTCACACTCCATCAGCTTGTGGTCATTCGGTTGATCAGAGGACATTGGTGAGCTGGTACAAATAGCAACTTTCTCCAGGTGGTGTCGTTTCATTTCCATGACTAGTGGCAACCCTTTTGCATGGATAGATTTTTGAATATCCTGGGAAAGAATTTTCTCAACTAGGACCACGTCTGGATGGAAATTCTCTATCATTTCCATAACATCTTCCTGGTAATATTGCATATAGCATATATTAGAGCCAATAATCAAAACATATAAAAAGGGGTGATTGATCACAATACTGAGACTTGAACCTACAACCACACTTATGGCTTCTCACCTCCTTACCACTAGGAGACGCATGTGACTCAAGTGATGATAATCCATCTGAAGAAACATCCCAAACCAATAGCAACTGGGGTTTTGTAATTGGCATGTGACTGTCAGCTGCCTGCGTTTTGAAGACTAGGCCTTTGAAAACTTTACTGAAAAATTAAAGCAAATATTAATATAAAAAATAAAACAAGTGTTGTGTACATGATACTGATTCTTTTTTGGATTGAATGAATGTGACTAAATGACTAATTTATCCTTCTGTTTAGAAATGATTCTACAAATGCACTAATAGTTAATAGCAAGATGATTAGTAATTCTCTACATATGAATACAAGCATTAATCAGAACATTAAACAATTCTACAGATATACATCCTAACCTAGCCCTATCGAAAATACCCGATACCCGAATTACCCGCCCGATTTTTTCGGATATCGGGTAAATTTTTCCGGGTAATCGAGTTACCCGATTTTTTTCGGGTCGGGTAAAGGGTACATTTTTTGGGTTTCAGGTATACCCGAATTACCTGAATTACCCAAATTATTTTTAAAATTCTTTTTTTTGTAGAGCTTGTACTGTATAGCAGGTATTTGATCACGCTTAAACTAACTATCATTATTGTAAAACATAAATATATTTATTATGACAATACGACACTAACAATATTAAAAGTAATTTTTATATATCATCACGTTCTTTAAAACTTAATTGTTTTCTAGATTATAGTTTTTATTGCAATTAACAAACTCATTATCTTGACGAAACTTCAGAACATGACAAAACTTATGGCTACATTTATCTTAAACATTTTAAACTTTTAAATTAAGATCTTTAGGTATTTATTTTTTTAACATCTTATTAGATTAGATTAAGTTGTTAAAAAATTATTTGATATCTCATGTATTATTAATTAAAAAATCTCAATGTTCAAAAAAAAAATTATATATTTCAAAAAAATTATATATTTTGGGTGAAATTCAAAAAAAAAAATATCATCAGCTAAACAATTAATACCAAAAGTTTAGGGGATGAAGAAAAAGACTAATAAGATAACCTTTGGTTTCTAGAACCCGTTGCAACACATATAACCTTCACATATATATCGGGATTCACTGCCTTTCCATATAAAGTATCTAGCTTTAGAGATACGACAGCTTCCAATGATAAAGCCCAAATTGTATCTACCCATGTATCACCATCATTTCCTGCACAAGAAATTCCCTTAGATATAAGAAGATGCTCCACATGTTTCTTAACACCCGATTTCATAAACACCATCATATCCCGTATCTTTTCCTTCAAGTTCCCACTGCGTTCGTCTCCAAGCATGATGCCATCATCATAATTGGCAACATTACCCTTAATATCACCCTCTTGGTCTTCTGGTTCAGGAGGAAACCAAATCTTAGAATCAATATACCCATTCTCATTACATGGCTCATGATTTTCAGTGCTTGATTCTTCTCTGAGAGTCCTAAAGGGAAAATAAAACAAAGAGTAAATGTAATCAATTAAATAACTATGCGAAGGGCCCACCAATACATGATATGTGATCCATCATCCATGCATCTAACTTTTTATTGATTCCGAAGGAGATGCCACTGATTACCTGTCATTTGAGGGCATTTCCACAACAGAATCATCTGAAATATAACAGTCATACGGATTAGGACTTGAAGAGAAAATGTTACTTGGGATGCATCATTAGCCACTTTAGCCATACATGACTCAGTGGAAAAAGGAAAAGAAACAAACCTTAAGCGCTGTTTCTATTAAATCTATTAAGTGAAAAAGAAACAAGTTACTTACTGGAACATGAAAAAGAGTTATCAGTTTTTGTTACAGGCACAGCTGGACTGAGTGCTGATGTTGGTAGAGAAATCAAACTACGATGTGTCATATCCTCAAACTCTTCCCTTCACCAGTAAATTGTCATCAAAATGTTACCCTTTCAAGATTAAGAATCCTGCAACATAAGAAAGGAAGAATATGTTAAGGTTTAAGCACTTCAACAAATTCACAGACAATTCCAACAAATAGTAATAACGCAAATGGAAAACAAGAACACAATATCTAAGGTGGTTCAAATGATAGATTTTATTGATCGACTGCCGAATTACAATTCTGCTATCTTACTTCTTAGGTTACACGAATTCAATAAATATATATATATATATATATATATATATATATATATATATATATATATATATACCACATAAATTTTCTTCCGTGGCTCCCCTACCCTCTCTTTGGGGAGCGGATGCCATCATTGGTATGCCCAAAAATCGTTTTTTAAGGAACCGGTTAAAACCAGCCGGTTCAAAGGAAAACCGAGTTGAACCGGAACAGTTAAACTGGTAAAAAAACTAGTTCTAGATAAAAAAATCATCTAATTTTTTTAGAAATTATGGTTCAAACAGGAGGAACACATGATACACACGTCTTATGTGGGTAATAATCAACTAATCTTTGGGTAAACAGTCTCTAACACTTATGTTTACATTTCTTAACTCTTATATATAGAAAATGAGATTCATCTTTTACTGCAATTTGATAAGCTGTTTCTTTCACTCATATAACTATCTAGGTTTGCTTCATCAACTGCTGAATCTTGAATAAAAAATGAAAATAGATATTCAAATGATGACACTTGTTTTCTAGACGGAAAAGAAATACGGGGCAATTTATATCTTAAGGAATCAGACATAGAGATATTCATAACACATAGAGTTAATGGTATTTTGGAACTAATTGATTAAGCGGCAGCTGGTAGACCACCTAAAACAGAAAATTTATTATTTTAGTCATATCCTGACATAAGAAGGCCAACATGAGCAATGCTTGAAATAACAATCCAAAATAAACATCAAACTGGTAGGACTACCGGTTTGGTGATAGGTATTGTTTTTCAAGACATTGGCTACAAGGTCAATGTTAAATAAGGCTTCACAACGTAACATAATAATGCAATCATTGTCTAGAAAAATAAAAAACAAATTTGTTTCAGCCGTCCGTCCAACAAAATATAAACTTTTATATAAAAATGTTAAAGAAAACCACAATAAGACAGGACAGAGCACATTCAAACGTATGCAACTTTTCAGGTAACCAGATTTATCCGGTTTTCAAACTCAGTCTTCTTTCAAATACTAGTTAAAATCAAGATCAATACTCAAAGTCACCAAGGGAACAAAACCGTAATTAATCATGCACACTGTCTTATAAAAAACTGAAATAAAATAGTAATCTTCTGAAGATAACAAGAAATTCGAAGCTATATTTAACAAGGTTTTAGCTCTAAGCTCCATAATTCTGAAAACATATAATTAATGGCTACAAGAAAAAATAAGATAGTAGAAGACCAAACCTACCTGACGCAACCAGTATATATCTCCCACCACCCAGAAATCGAATTACTGTTTCCTTTTGAGTAGCAACATCAAATTATCATCAAATTACGTATACGAGCATCGATATCAGAATTATGGACTGATATAAGCAAATTAAGCAAATCAGAAAAGAAGACATAAAAACATCAACCCGAATATGGTGAACCTCGGACCACTATAGGAACTGGGATAAATCCGATCAATCCGGAAAAGATGGAAACCCTGATAGCAGCGGGTCACCGACGGACATGAGAGAAAGAGTACACTAGAGAAGGGAGATTAGAATATGGAAGAATATTAGCGGATGACTTGACAAATGAAGCAAGAGAAGTTCTACAAACGACGAATGAAAGAAATTTCGTAGCGAGTGGTAGACTATATATGCTATAGTAGTAGCTGGAAAATAAGAATATATAATGCTACAATAGCTATGTCTATGCGAATGAAGAAATCTCAAAAGGAGAATCAAAGGAAGTTTACATACCTAATGGGTCATTTGACTCGTTTCCAAAAAAAAGAAAGAAACATACGTAATGGGTAGTGGGTCTAATAAGAATATATATATATATATATATATATATATATATATATATATATATATATATATATATATATATATATACACACCAACAAAGAAATTTTAAATTGAGAATCAAAGGTAGGTCGAATATGCTTATGGGTTCTAGGTGGAAAATAAGAATATATATGCAGGTAGCTATATGCTTATACTTTAGAGCATTTTAAATTTTTGTGAAACTAATTTGTCACACAATGTTTTTAATAAAAAACTTCTCTCTAAAAATCATTTTCAATGCATAAGTTATCGGTAATGTCTTTTGTTTTTAAATCAAATATTTATCATCATCTATTAAAAACTCGGCTAATACTCAAGCGTTGCAAAGAAGCAACATTGTATAATAAATTTTTTGACAAATCATATATATATATATATATATATATATATATATATATATATATATATATATATATATATATATATATATATATATATATATATATATATATATATATATATATATATATTATAATAAATGAAAGTTTTTTTTACCACATATTATCTTCTCATTCATTTGGACATATGATATTTTCTAAAATTGTTAAATTTTTTATTTTCCACTTGTTATTTTATTGTATTTTTCATTTTACTAAATTAAAATTCCACATTTAATGTGTAAGGTAATATATATGTAAAGTATTTATTAAAAAAAGAGTATATATGTAATGTATTCAATACATTAAAATCTCATTAATTTTAATAATTCAAATTTTTCTCATTTTTCTTATAAATTCAAACTTTTCAAATTGTTAAAATTTTATATTTATTTTTTTTAATTAAACTCATGTAATACATGGGTCTCACATCTAGTGTGTGTGTATATATATATATATATATATATATATATATATATATATATATATATATACTATAATAAATGAAGGTTTTTTTTACCACATGTCATCTTCTCATTCATTTGGATACATGATATTTTCTAAAATTTTTAAATTTTTTATTTTCCACTTGTTATTTTATTGTATTTTTCATTTTACTAAATTAAAATTCCACATTTAATGTGTAAGGTAATATATATGTAAAGTATTTATTAAAAAAAAAAATTATATATGTAATGTATTCAATACATTAAAATCTCATTAATTTTAATAATTCAAATTTTTCTCATTTTTCTTATAAATTCAAACTTTTCAAATTGTTAAAATTTTATATTTACTTTTTTTTAATTAAACCCATGTAATACATGGGTCTCACATCTAGTATATATATATATATATATATATATATATATATATATATATATATATATATATATATATATATATATATAGGGAAGGGTTATATGGAAAATAAACAATTAGGGCAACACATGTTAGAACCAGTGAAAACATGACAACACATCATTTTGGAATAACTACATAAATAACTTTCATAGTAGATTGCTTATGAATATAGAAATGGACACGTGTCACTTGATCATTGGTTCCAACATTTGTTGCCCTAATTTTTTATTTTCCATTGAACCTACTTCTATATATATATATATATATATATATATATATATATATATAAAAGAGTAGCTATTTTGTCATGTGTCACCATATTAGACCTCTTAATTAATATGTTGCTACTTGTCAATCTATTAGTTCTCCATTTTAAATTTATTACACCTCCTCATTAATGTGATTCTATTTGTTAATATATTTATTCTCTATTTTAAATTTTAAATTTTATATTATTGTATTCATTAATTCATAAATAAATAATGTCTAATATATAATAAAAACTAATTTTACATATTTTTTTTTGAATTAACGATTAAAATTTCACATAACTAATAAAAATCTCTTAATTAGTAATTTATTTAAAATAAATGATTAATGATTTTAAGTTTTTAGTATAAAAGTTTAATTAATTTTATAACCGTGGTTCCCACGGGTTATAAACTACTATATATATATATATATAAAGAGGTGGGTTCAATTGAGAAAATAAAAAAGATAGAGAATGGAGGAATCATTATCAGCCACTCATTTAATTAGTCGTTAAACATAAAGGATACGGTGACAAACTTGTAAATTTGATATACTAGTATTTAATCACAAATACGAACAGTTGAAATTCATTCGTTTTTTGCTCTTTCAATGCAACCTTCAATTATATTTGAATACGAACATATCTTTAATATCTACGATAATTATGCTCCCAGCATCATTAGAACAACATCATCGATAATCAACAAAAAATTCAATTTATATCATTCATTCAACATCGTTTATTAAATAAAACATCGAAATTAAGGTTAGAAAAAGATCAAATCATTTTTTTTTTTGAAATTTTCATATATTTCTCTACCAAGCGACTATTTTGTAAGATATAAGTAGTTAAAGTATCATACTTATCACATTTTTAAAAAAGTTAACTTGTATGCACTCCAACTGTTTGATGAAATGCATAAACTAAATTACCACGTTATATTCACATATGAATATGTTTTCTCACCTGAATCAAATCATTAAAAGAATATTTAAAACCTTTTCTGAACATGCATGAAATGAAATAATGTTTGTTGTCATCTCAGATGAATAGCAACAATTCAATAAATCTAATCTAACATCATTAATAAGAAAAAATTGATAAACTCCGATCTTGTTTACTGGTGAAGACTTCTTGTTTCCCATGATCAAGTTTATCCTTCCTTGCTCTATCTCCTCACTTTCCTTTAGCCCCTGCAAATCAGAACAAATGTGAAAACCACATCCTGCATCAAGGACCCATGAACGAGAAGATAATGAGTTATTAGAAGAAATAGTGTAAATACCTACTGAAGACGGCTTCACTTTGCCATCTTTGATATCCTGCAGATATTGTGGGAAGGTTCTCTTCCAATGCCCCTTTTGATTGCAATAAAAGCAAACAGCTTCCTTTGGATCAGAGACACGGGGAATGGAAGCATTGGGCTTAGCTTTTGGGACTCCGCTAGATGACCCGACTTGGACTTTTTCCTTCTAGTTTTGCTTAGGAGGACCTTTCCTCCTTTTCCCCTTTATCTGTCCAATAGCTAGAACAGGAGCACTTGCAGGAGTAGAGGCTAGACTTTTACCCTTCATCCCTGCTTCAGTAGTCTGCAACAAGTTGTGCAATTGGGCCAATGTCTGCTCAGTGTTGTTCAAATGGTAAGTTAAGATAAATTGACCATAACAATCAAGCAATGAGTTCAAGACCATGTCAATGGCCAATTCCTCATCAAAGTGAATGTTGAGCTTGACCAAACGCTCTATGTAGTGTTGCATTCTTTGCACATGAGATACAACCGACTCCCCCTCTTTCATCTTGCAAGCCATGAGTGACTTGACTACTTCAAACTTTTCTTGACAAGCTCGCTTATGGTACTTTTCCATAAGGTACTTGTTCATCTCAAAAGGCCAGTAGTCCTCATAGTACCTTTGCAGTTCTGGGGACATGGTTGCGACCATGATGCATGCCACTTTGGTAGCATCATCATAGTGCTTCTTGTAGGCATCATACTCTTCGGGAGTGGCTTTGGACTCATCAAGTTCTTTGAGCTCCTTTTCAAGGACATACTCTTTGTCCTCGAATCTAAGCGCCATCTTGATGTTACGCATCCAATTGCTATAGTTAGAGCCATCCATAACGACTTTGGAGCAGATGTTGAGTAAAGAGAAGTTGTGGTTGGAGGATGATGAAGCAGAACTGTTTCCAGGAATAAATATCTGAAAAGAAAGATAGTTTTAGTTAGATTTCAAGGCACCTCAATATAATAACCCAAAGATATCATATCAAGGTTAGGACCCAACTATGACGATTTACAACTTAGAAATGGGATGCCGAGATCCAAGTTCAAATCTTATAAAGGTTGGTGAATGACGATTCACCAATTCCACCATTAGACAAAATAAACAAAGTGAAATTCCTAATTCTTTTTGAGATACATTAAAACTATTTAATGGCATGTTTTAATCTCGGATTATGCTCTACTATTTGTGACTGGGATACCGAGGATCACAAACTAGATGTGAATAACCATGCAAATGGGCTTGGTAACCTTATTGTCTTTATCATTAACTATTGATGTGCCGGTAAACCACATATGCTCCATCAAAATGATAATTATAAGATACCCATTACTACTCTTTATTAGTGCCTATTAGTGTGTCGGTAATCCACACATGCTCCACCAACGACCAATAAAGCATAATGAGCAATTTCATGGATTAGCATACTTTTCACATTTTTCCTAAAGTAACTAGAGTTGGGATTTTCTGTAAAATAATGTTCTAGTACTTTCTTTAATAACATTATACTTTTAATGAGATGTAGTTGTCCTATCAAATCCGTTTGGCTAACGACCCTCCACTAATCAAGGAAGCGGTGGGTGAGAGTGGACACCCATTCAACTACCATTTTATAGGCAGTTTCCTTATACCCCCTTATAGACTAGCTTCGTGAATGAGGCATCCTAGCAATTTGACTGACCATACTCTTATACATATATAATATTTAACTTTTAATTATAATATATATATATATATATATATATATATATATATATATATATATATATAAGGTGTGTTTTAAACTTTTAAAACTTTAGGGTTTATATATAAATTTCGAAAATTAAGCCATTAATTTTAAATTTAAAATAAACCAAATTACTAGATTTAATCTTTATCTATTAATTAACTTTTAATTAATTTATTAAATCTTGTAAGGATTATCTAATCAAATTAAACACTTAATTCAATCCTAATCCTTATCCCTCTAAATTTTGAAAATTAGGGTGAAGGATAATTATCCAATTAATCTAATCAAGTAACAATTATCCAAAACAAGAAACCCTAAAAATACTAAGCATATTTCGAAATTCAAGGGAGGAGGCTAGGGTTTTTCAAAACCCTAACCCTAATTTCGATTAGGGTTCATGGAGGCTAGGGTTTTCAAAAACCCTTTGAACCAAAAACCCTAGAAATCGA